TCTCTTAACATCCTTCTATTCAGTTAGAAGTTTTATAGCACTGTTAGTCAGTTATCTCACACAGGAAATATTTACTGGATCTTTACTACAGAATAAGCTGATGATCTAAATTCTACTACAACCGCATGCAGAGCAATTATAAAGAGATGTGTCAGGAAAAATGACCAGGAAATGTCACATTGACTAGACTTGTAGAAGATAACGTGCTCACCTAAAGGAGGGGTCCCAGAAGGAGAAGAGAGAGAGAAAGGGCCTGAGGAAATACTTGAAGAGATAATAGCTGAAAACTTTCCTAACTTGGGAAAGGAAACAGTCACCCAAGTCCATGAAGCAGAGAGTCCCTTACAAGATTAATCCTAAGACAAACACACCTAAACATATTATCATTAAAATGACAAAAATTAAAGATAAAGAGAGACTATCAAAAGCAACAAGAGGAAAGTGGCAAATAACATACAAGGGAACTCCCATAAGACCATCCACTGATGCTTCAGCAGAAACTCTGCAGACCAGAAGGGAGGGGCATACCTTTAAAGTGACAAAAAGGAAAAACCTACAACCCAGAACACTCTACCCAGCAAGGCTCTTGATCAAATTTGATGAAGAAATCAAAAGCTTTACAGACAGGCCAAAGCTAAAAGAATCCAGTCCAACCAAACCAGCTTTACAACAAATGCTAAAGGAATTTCTCTACACAGAAAAGGCCACAATTAAAGGAAGGGATAAGAGGTTATAAAGGAAAAAAAAAGACTTCAGACTTTTTCCTCTATTTACATTCTCTGCATTGCCTATTTGCAGAAACAAACAAACAAAAATTTCTGGTTTCCCTTGAGGGTATTTTCACAAAGGGAAGGATGGATGGAAAACAGTGAAAGATGACCATTTGGTTACAAACTACATATTTAAATCAGTCTATTTTTTTATTGGAAAAGGAGATGTATTTTACTGTAGAATCCAAACCGGTTAGAACCCAATGTAAAATATTTTCCAAATGCAGCAAATCTATAACCACCTATAAATTAATTATACATCAGATTCACTGATAGGGACTAATTTTTCATTTTGCACAAGTTTGCCTTACACAGTAAAATCAGCTATAACCTACATGCTTCTTTCAGCTATTTTGCCAAGAAACCTCTCGTACACCTTTAGACAACGACAATGAATAATGTACTATAAGAAATACAAACATAAAATTGAAGGTAGGTTCAAAGTGACTACTCAAAGGTCAAGTTGGCTTCATACAATTCTACTTCTAAGTGGAAACCACGGATTGCCACATCGTGTGGTACAGCTCAAAGAACATTTCTGTTTGTTCAACACTGTAATTTATTTTCTGTTTAGTAAGCTGTGAGGTTTCTGCACTAAATACATTTTAGTAAGTGAAAAAATAAATAAATATACCGAATCAAAGCAGGAGCTGTGATTTTCATGGAATAAAAATGCAAGCGTGCGTGAGAATCCAGGGAACAGAAAAGTCATTCTTATTTTTCTTTACCCAGATGTGAGAGAGAGTTTCTGCAATTATGACCACTGAAGGGGCCACAGCCCAAGGTTCTAATGCCTTCAGGTGCTTACCCACAAGGCATAATCTGCTAGTCCTGTAGAAGACTCCGGGATACCAAATGATAAGAATCCTTATATTTAGATTCCTTTTTCTGGTCAAAATGATAAAGCTTCCCCGAAAAGTGACCACTCAGATTTGAGGTTCTTTCTTTTAGTGTCAGTCTTAGCTCCTTTTCATGGTGAGAGTCCCTTTTTTTTCCTATGAGGCAACCCCAATCCAAAGTATTACCTACTGCTGCAAATAAAATCTCAAACTGGAGCTGACTTTCCTAGTAAGAACTGGCTTTGGAAGGTGAAAAAGCAGCACTCCACAGAGCAGAAGTCAGCTGACAGGCCTCGCGTGCCCTCTGCCATGTCCTAAGTGGGGCCCCTGAACTCGCTGCTTCCTCTCCAGAGCCTGGTGAGCACTCGGCAGGGTGGCTGGGACCACACGGTCCATTCAATCCACCCCCGGTCTTGTGTCCCAGGTGGTCCTTGACGGCAGCTCAGGATGGGGGATGGTGGCAAGCTATCCACCTGTCTCCGCGTTAGCCATCTCATTGCCTCCTGGGCTATTCCACGTGGAGTCCCCCTCTCCTCTCAGCACCGGGTCAGCCCTCTCCTCCTTCAAACCTAGCTCAGTGTTCACAGCCTCCACTAAAACAAAACAAAACACACAAACAAACCAAAAGCACCTGGCCCACAGGCATCTCCCTGTAACTCCGCACACCCACAGCACTTACGCACTGTACAGGATACAGCGCTAAACAAACGTCAGACGACTGAAAGGAGGATTTTCTCTAGGACTGGATCAGAGATAACCCGGGATAACAAAGAATTTAAATACCATTCATCGCCTATTTTGGAAAAATTGAGGCTGTAATTCCATTATCCGAAATATAACTATTTCTGCAGAAATAAAGCCTCACTACTAGAATTTAATCTCCACTCAGCACAAACCATTACCTGTGCTTCCTGGACCGG